ATTGCTTTTTAATTTAACAAAAACATTACACCCCCAACTGTAGTCCGTCCCCACTCCTCATAGAAAACAGGAATTTTGTTCTCTGGTGCAGCTGAGCCAGGATGGCCCTGGAGACAGCAGATGGAGGGAAGCATGGCAGAGAAGACAGTGTACCTGAAGCCATTTCTCCAGGACACGCTCAAGAATACTGGTTGTCAGGCTCAGAGCCTCGGGGCAAAAATTCAGAGGAGAGGCTTCTCTGGAAAAACTGCTGGATGGCTCTAGGGAATTCCACAAATACTGACACTGGAAGCCCCAACAGAGAGACTCAGTTTATGGGTCCACAGTGAGCCTGCACCACAGACCTTTCCCTCATCCTTCGGCACCTTTTTCTTGGACACCAACAGAAGACAGCCATGGACTGCCAGACATCTGAGGAAAGCCTCAGAACACAACACATAACCCAAAACTGGGGTGGGGGTGGGAGGGACGGGACAAGACGATGCAATGGAAGAAAACCTCAAAAACTACCCTAAGTGATGTCTTCAGAAAGACAGTATTTCCATGAAACAAGAACAGGACGCTACTTTAAAAAAGTTACAGAACAACTTCTTGAATATTTCAGAGATGGCAGCCAAAATAAACTAAACAAAGACTTGGCAATAAAGGTAAAAAAGTCTCGATGAAATGGAACTGAAGGCAAAAACAAAACAAAAACAAACCATGCTGCCCTAAGAGACAGGCAATTAGAAGAAAACAATTACAGGGGAAGCGGGAGGTCCAAAACCAGTGAAGGGGGGCATCAGGAAGATTATTAACAAACATAAGAAAATGTTTCAGGAATGACGGGGCAAAGCCTCCAGATGGAAAGTGCTCACCAAGCAGCCCACGCAAGGAATTCCACAGAACACAGCAGGCCCCCTGACCTGCGATCTCAGAGCACCAAGGAGAAAGGGAAGATCCTGAAAACTTTGGAGGGCAAGGTGGGGTCATGTCACCAAGGACTGAGTGCACGATGCCACTGAACTTCTCAACAGCCACCATGGAAACTAGCACAGAGAAGGAGCAATTTGGAGGGGAGAATTACCTTCAAACTAGACTTATGTACCCAGCCAAACTACTAATACCAACCAAGCAGAATTAATACATTTTCAGAACAGCCAAGTCTTCAACATTTACCTCCTATACAGCCTTGTCAGGAAGATTCTCTGTCAAAACAAGGAAGAAAACCAAGATGTAGAACTGAAGAAACCGAGAATCCGACACAAAACAGAGACACACATAACAACACGGATAAATCTTAAAAATATTGTTCTGTGTAAAAGAAACCAAAAGACACAAAAGAGCACACACCATGTGATTCCATTTTTAGGAAAAGGTGGAAAGGTAAAATTAATCCGTGGAAACAGAAAGTGGACCAGTGACTGCTTGGGGCCAGGGTGAGGTGGGAATGGAGAAGCAGCAGCAGGGAGCAACTTCCAAGAGGTAAACTTTCGAGGGTGAGGGAAATGATCTGTGTCTTATTTGTGGTGGTGGTAGTGACGACATGGGTTTTCACATCTATCAGGACTCACTGAGGTCCTGGCAGGGTAGCTCAGTTGGTTAGAGGGTCGTGCCGATAGATACCCTGAGGTTGTAAGGTTCCTTGCCTGGCCAGGGCACATACAGAAAGCAACCAGTGAATGCATAAACTAAGTGGAACAGCAAGTGGATATCTCCCCCCCCCTCTATCCCCCTTCCTCTCACTCTCAGAAATGAATAAAAAACATTTTTTAAAAAATTACAAAACCAGAAAAGTCACTAATATTGTACACTTAAAAGGGTGTACATTTTTTATGTCAATTACTCTCAATAAAATTGATGTTTTTTCAATAAAGCAACAGCTGTGAAGTAGGTCTAACGAGCAACTAATTCAAACTAGAACAAATGGATGGAGCATTTCACAGAAGTCTCCAGAGTAAAATGAAATTGATTACTGCTATGGACTCAATGTGCACCCCCGCCCCCACCCCCAGTTCATGTTGGAGCCCTAACCCCCTTATTGCCATATTGGAAAAGCAGCCTTTAAGGAGGTGACTACAGTTAAATGAGGTCGTAAAAGTAGAACCCTGATCAGATAGAACCACTGGTGTCCTTATAGAAAGGGAGGAGACACCAAAGATCCCTCTCTCTGTGCCAAATGAGCTAGCAAGGGGCAGTCTGAAAGCCAGGAAGGGAGTCCTCTCCAGAAACCAAAGCCTGATGCAACCTGAATCTTGAATGTTGCAGTCCCCAGAACCATGAGAAAATCAATTCCTGTCATTCAAGCCACCTAGTCTACGGGATTGTGCTGTGGCAGCTCTAGCAGACTGAGATGGTAATTCTAGGTATGGAATACAGGTATCCCCCACTTCATTAGGCAAACTTGGGTCCTTGCTAAAAGCAAAATGGCACAACACAAATCTGCTTAAAGCACATTTTTGGAAAGTGGAAGATTCTCCTCACTTTATGCCATTTCGGCTTATGAAAGGTTTCTTCGGAATGCTGTGCAGTTGTTCCTCAGTATCCACAGGCCACTACTTCCAGGACCCCCACAGATATAAAACTCTGTCAATGCTCATGTCCTTGCTATAAAATGACTTAGTATTTGCACATAACCTGTGCGCATCGTCCAGTACACTTTAAATCGTGTCTAGATGATTTGTTTTCTTCCCAGCTTCCCCCACCTCAAGGTGGGGAGGCAGAGTCCAGGGGGAAGGCAGAGAAGGACAGGCCTGGCCCTCCTGAAGTCCTCAAGGGCAGACAGGCCACCCCCAAAGTGTCTTTAAACCTCTGCCATGGGACCTGCAAGGTACCTAGAAAGGGGGGAGAGAGCGAATGGTTGGGTGGAGGGGCACACGACCTACTGCCACCGCCCTGCTGTCTGCGCTGCCAGCTCGCAATGCCACTCGTGCCTCTGTGGGCAATTCCCCACACCTGCAGGGCCTGGAGGGCGAGGGGCTGCGAGGGTATATGGGGGGGCAGATGAGGAGGCATCAGCGTGGTTGGGGGGGTGAGGGAGGAAACCCAGATGGAGGGGCCTGGCTCTGGGGCCTGGTGGGCAGAGGTTGCCTGGGGCAATGGCAGATGCCAGCCAAAGGTGGCTGGACATTGAACCAGATTTGTCCAGCTCGGGCTGCAGCTGGGCGCACATGCTGGAACTAGTCTGGCCACAGGGAACACCCCACTGCTTCAGCACCAAAGGCCAAGTTCCCCAGACGTGCCAGCACCAAGAAGGTGGGGGTGTGGTGGTAGGGGTGGTGCACATGGCTGAGAGCTCCCTTCCTCACAGCTCTCTCCAGACTCTGGCGATAGGAGGCACCTGCGACCAAGAGGCTAGATTTATAATAGACAACATGAGGCAAATGTTATGTAAGTAATTGCTATACTGAAGTCTGTACATGTTCAGCAACCACTGTAGGCCTAACTACATAGTACAAGTCAGCAACAAGGTAGCTCCCCCCCAGCCCAATATTTTTGATCTGAGGTTGATTGAATCCACGGGTGCTGAACTTTCTATGGCCTGGAAACCTGTATTCTATTGAGAACACTGGATAATGTGTGAGCGATTGGCATAAGCATATTTTTAAAAAAAACTTTTAAAAGGCAGTTATTAACTCTAGAAAAACAAAATTATTCAAGGAAAAAAATGATCAGAGTATACTGACTTAGCAGAGACTAAAAATAGATTACTACATCAGGACAGAGAGGGAAAAGAAATGGGAAGAAAGCTACGTCTTATCCATCACAACAGGAAGGCACCCATGATTAAAATCAAGAAATAAAGAAATAGCAGCATGCAGCTTACGATTTTGAAATGTGCTAAGCAAGTGTATTTTCTAAGACACAGACAAAAGAACTAAAAGCACCTGCCCACCAAATCAATAAGTTTGACTTTGTAAGTAACATGTAGTATTCTGTGATAACCATTTTTACAGGGCTTTCAACAAAGGAGTCCAACAAAGTCAAACACCGTGGAGTAGTGAAAATAAGGACTTTCAATATCCAGATCTATGAAGCAGGAAGTCACTACTGATCTTAAGACATTTTGGTGGGTTGGTAGTAGAAGTCACACTGCACTGGGTTTAAATGGAAGGTATGAATGTTAGTGAAATACTAGTTAAAAAAACAACCCCCCCTGCACATTGCATTCCTGACCTGCACTTTATCCATCGGCAGGACTTGTTCTCTCCTACTCACTAAACATACATGAAAGAACAAAATGAGACAGTACAGTACCCCAGTCTGCCCTCCTCCTGTCTCAGGAGATCATGTCATCTCGAGAAACATGACATGCTTCCATCAGCAAGTGAGAGAAAAGGAATGGGTCACTTTCTTTTATTCATTCAACACACACCTACTAAGAGCCTTCTGGGGACCTAATAGGCCAAGCTCTTCTAGATAACAGGGATACAAAAGTGAGGACCACAGGGTCATATCCTCCAGGAGGTCACAGCCTAGTTGAGGGACCCTCACATCAACACATACATTCTACTATCACATAGTACTTGCTATAAAAGACAATAAATAAAGTACAAGAGAGAAGCAAGAGCGGATCACCACAGCCCTAGCAATCCTCAACAGTCAATATCTAATAAATCCCTCATTGCAGGCCGGGAAGCAAAACTTAAGGGCCCTTGAAGCACTCAATAACCTAGTTCCTGGAGATTAAACCAATGTATTCAGTATGTGAATAAACCAAAGTAATTTCTATGTTGCTCAACATCAAAGCAGTTGTGTGCCCAGAGAAATCCAGAAAGGTTCAGTGCTGTGCTTCCGTAACCATTCAGATTCTCATTCACCTTCAGGCTAATTTTCCGTGGACCCTGGGGTGTGTTTAATGATTTAATAGAGGGGAGTGAGCATTCCTCAGAAAAATAAACTGAAAGAACTACTTTGCCCAACTTCAAACCATGAAAATCTCTGCTTGGGTAAATAAGCCTCTGACTAATTGTAATCAAGGACTCCCAAGAGCCCTCTTGGACCCCACTATTCATACTTACAGTGCCGGTTGGACTCTCAAATATCCCAATCTTGCCAGCCTCCAACACCTGGTAAAGCTCTGCCATGAAGTCTTTCTGGATGGAATAGGGTGTGAAAGGAAAAGGGAAATGGATGCCACCAACCTCCTGGGTTTTATCAGCCATGATCCTAAGAGGAAAAAAACAAAAAAACAAAACACCTTGTGGTTCTCTGATGAGCCAGAAAGAACTGGTTTAAAAACTAGAACAATTCCTGAGAACAGTCGCAGGACCAGTTATGGAACTTCTCCTTAGGTTGTACATTTTTTTTTGCAAACACACACCATGCTCTCTCCATCATGTGCATGTCCCCATGTAGCCGTATCAACCCATGGGGAATCCATCTAGTGACATCAAAAGTGGCTCTAGAAGAAGGAAGCCTAGGAAAGCCCCTGTACGGGAAATCCTTGTCATTTCTCCTGGGATGCTTTTGCTGCTAGGATAGCCTTGTAGTGCCCCCTAGGAAAGCCTTGGAGATTTTCTCTGGGATCAGAGGTGTTGCCTATAATCACGTCTTTAGTTTTTCTTCTCTCCGTTGTCCTCAGGGCAGCATTTGCATGTCATATTTATTTGCTTCACTTTATCCTGTTGCAAAGATCTCTAAGTAAAATCATGGCACACTGGCAGAAAATTACAAGTACCTTACAGCTTTTCTTATGTGGTGCAGATTAACATACATATCCCTATTTTACAGATTATCTTCAAATTGCTTGAGTTCACCCTACCCTCCTCCATTTCCAGCACCAACCAGAGCTGCCTCCACAAAATGGTTGGGCCTTAAGAACCACAGCTTTCTGTCTGGCTCCGGACTGGCAGAGCGCTCTTCACAAGGACTGCGCCCAGCTGGAAGAGCTCCACAAAGGGAGACCACGGCATCTCTTTCCCCTGCCAGGCCAAGGTCTAAGGCAAACTCTTCCGCTCCATGTCTATGCCATCTTTTTGTCGTCTCTGAACCTGACTTTTCTGAGATAGCATTTGCATCTAAGGAACTTCCTTCCCTTAGTCACCATCTGGAGGACTGACTCTTCCATCCTGGTCCCACACTCTCTCTATGAAAGTCACTGCTCCAAGCTCTTTAGCAGGCCCATCTTTCACAAGTACAAACATTAATAACCCTAAAACCATTTGCATCTTTGTTACCTAACTAGCCTCAATAAAACCAACAGCAGTGTCTGTTCAACATGAGGTTTTGAAAGGCAGTTACTATAATGTTTTTCCAGTTACAGTTTAAGGGCAGTTCAAATGACTGTAGAGGTGGGAGGATGAACTACAAGAACAGTGACTTTAAAAAACATGGACAATTCAATAACGAGAGGGAGGCATGTAATCAAATAACCATTACCACGTGAAGGGGTAGAGAAAGGCGTGTAACAAATTTTGAACACCTGTGTGCTAAGCATGCCACAGGCCCTTTTGCTTCTATTATCTCATTTAATCTGAAAAACACTTAAGGATACAGTTGTTGCATCTGGATACTTACAGAAATGGAATAATTGTTCAAAGTCTCAGCTAGTTAGAGGAAAACCAGGGATCCAAACCGAGGTCCAGAGGACTGTTTTAGTCAAATTTAACAGGCTGCAGGAGATAACCAACAGACATAAAAGGGAGATTTATTGAAAAGATACCTATTGAGAATTGAGACCATCTGGAAAAAACAATGGAAGCTACCACCAGGGTGGGAGTTCTGGCACACTAGAACTACTGACACACTCAAATCTCAAAACAGCTCCCAGAACCTCACCAACCAGTAAATCCATGGATTTTCACTCTCTGGCTCACTCACATGCCAGATGGAGCCACTGACTGACCTCCTCTGCTTACTCACAGCTTCTGCTCATTCAGAACTTCAGCCTGAACATGGTCACTTCAGCTGTCTGTACCTTTTAGCTTCAGCTCCCACTACCACAAAATGCTTTTCATGTTTCTCAGTTTTAAACCCCAAGAGAAATATCTGATCAGTACCTCCTGACCTTTTAAGACAGATCCCTGGTCAACCCACACAAGGGTAAAGCACGAGGCGGTCCTGATCCTCCTGGGCCTTGCACTTGCCGCCCTCCCCACTGTCACCCTAGCCCCCACACCAGGGAAGGATGAGTCCTCAAGAGTTAGGGCCACTCAGCTCTTCAGAGAAGCCTCTCCCTCTGCTTCACCATCCTAGTGGTCAAATACCCTCTCTCCAAATACAGCCATGTGCGCATACGTGCGTGCGTGCGCACACACACACACACACACACACACACTGCTCTACTTTAAGTCACTCATTTATTTCAATACCCTGGTATGTTTAATTTCTTAGCACTAGCAGCTAACTGGGTTGGCCAAAAAGTCCATGTCGTTTTTTTCCTCATAAAATAAAGACACAAATTTCATTTTCACCAATAAATTTATTGATTTGGGTATTTTGAGTATGTTGGCCTGGCTCTCTCCTGCTTGTGTATTGTTGATTGTTCTCAATTAATACCTCGTTTTGATTGCTATCAACTTCAACTGGTCTAACTGATCCTGGAACATTGTCCTGAGAAATCTCCAGCACCAAACTTCACACACCACTTGTGACATATTTGACCAGTCACAGTATCTTTTCCATACACTACGCCAATCTTTGTTGTGCTTCGGTTGTGTTTTTACCTTTCTTGACATAATGAAGCATAATATGCTGAAAATGCTCTTAATATTAAAATGCCAACACAAAAATTCACCAATTTTGATATGCTTTTTTTAAGGCACATCAATGTAAAAGCTGTCACAAAAAAATCTAACAAAGTTGTCTTGAATGTAGTTAAAGACAACTGAGCATGACTAGAGCCATCTTACAGAAAAAAACAAATGAATTTCTTGGCCAGTCCACTATTTTATTTAGTCCTTCCCACTAGAATATATAAGGTCCATCTGGAAAAAGTCCACCCACTCTTAACATAATGGGAATTGTTTGCATGAAATTGATGTAACCTGGCAGCGAAGGCAAGTGGACTGGAATGCACATGTGTGAATGATGATTTTACTTTACTAGTCCTGGGGTTGGTAGATGCCATTGAGTGACTGTATATTGTGTGGCTGTTGCAAAATGACTGAGCAAGTAGAACAATGAATCTGCATCAAATTCTGGGCTAAGCTTGAACATTCCTCAGCAAAAACTATCCAGATGATTCAGAAGGCCACAGCTATGGCCAACTGGTGATTGGCAGCCTTATCAGGACAACACTCCTTCTGATGAATTGTGTCTTATACAGGTTTTTTTGGGCAACACATCACATCGCCCAGCTGATTCAGCCCCCCTACAGCCCACATTTGGTGCCCTGCAACTTGTGGCTATTCCCAAAACTAAAATCACCTTGGAAATGGAAGAGGTTTCAGACTGTTGATGAGATACCGAAAAATATGTTAGGGCTGCTGATGGCAACTGGGAGAACTGTGTGAGGTCCCAAGGTGCCTCCACTGAAGGGGACTGAGGTGCCACTGTCCTATGTACAATGTTCCTTGTATCTTCTTCGATAAGTGCCTCTAGTTTTCATAATACATGGCTTGGTACCTTCTGGACAGACCTTGTAAGCAGCATATAAGAAGGGACCTTGTCTATCTTGTTTTTCCCTACCCTTAGCACTCAGAGACAGGTGCTTTGGCAACTAGAAAACATTCAATAAAAATCTGATGTATAAATAAAAAGCCAGTTTGACATGGAGGCTGTAGGTGGAGGTTTCTGTTCCTAAGGGGTAAGGGTGGAGCTACCCCGTGACTTAAATATCTAGTCCACAGGACAGTTCTTTAAGTTTCCAACTGTCTTCATTTAACCTCACAACAACCCTGTGTGGCCAATATTTTTATTAGCTCCATTTGACAGATGAAGAAACTGACAGTCAGAAATGTTCAGTGATTTGACCTCAGTCAATGAGAAACTGCCTGAATCTGAGCTTTGAACGCACATCTGCCAGACCGTCCCGGCCCTGACTTTGTATCGCCACACTCTCCCTTCTCACCAGGATAGGTAGGGTGAAGAGACTTGGTTAGAGTAACAACTTTAGAGTGACAACAGAAAACAATACAGAAAGACAGTTATTATTATTTCATTCACTGTCAGTGGTAATTATGGATCTCATTATTCCAGAAGCAGCACAAAGCTAAGAAGGGAGAGGTTAAAGAAAAGTTTAGCCCCTGCCAGGTGGCGCAGTTGGTCGGAGCTTTGTCCCCCGCACCAAAAGGTTGAGGTTTGATTCCCGGTCAGGGTACATACCTAGGTTGCAGGATTGATGCCTGGTCTGGTCACCTATGGGAGGCAACCAATCAATGCTTCTCTCTCCCTTCTTCTCTCCCTAAAATCAATAAACATACCCTCGGGCGAGGATTTAAAAATAAGGGTTAAGATAAATCCATGAATAGTGGATACACTAAGTACACCTTTTAAGGTTGATTGGTGTTGCTTTTTCTGACCTCTTTAGGTTGGTTGTAGGGAGCTCAATCGTGACCTCCCACACAAGTTCTTCCTAGAATGCCTCACCAGTGCTAAAGCACATACCAGCACAGAAAACTTTACACTCATTAACTGTGAAAGAACCTCAGGTACATACTGTCCTAAAGTGTTCATGTTCTTCAACCCTCAATGATCATTCCTTATTTACTTAGGTATAAACTATTGTTACAGACTGAACTGCCACAGAGTCATGTGTTAAAGCCTCAACCCCCAACAAGAGACTCCAGACTTTTAGGAGATAATTAACATCAAATGGAAAAGGAAACTGAGATGCATAACAGGCAGGAACAGATCAAAACATGGCTCAAGAACAACTCAGAGCCCCACAGCTGATAAATCTAAGGGAACAAGAAATAGCCAAACTTTCAGATGCACAGTTCAAAACACTGGTGATCAGGATGCTCACAGAACTGGTGGATTTTAGTCACAAATTAGAGGAACATATGAAGGCTAAACTAATTGAAATGAAGGGAAATGCACAGGAAACCAATAGTAATGGAAAGGAAACTGGGACTCAAATCAAAGGAGTGGACCAGAAGGAGGAAAACAATGACCAAACAGAAAAGAGTGAAGAAACAAGAATTCAAAAAAAAAATGAAGAGAGGCTTAGGAACCTTCAGGACATCTTTAAATGTTCCAACATCCGAATTATAGGGGTACCAGAAGGGGAAGAGGAACAGCCACGAGTGGAAAACTTCTTTGAACAAATAATAAAGGAGAACTTCTCCAATTTGGCAAAGAAAATAGACTTCCAGGAAATCCAAGAAGCTCAGAGAGTCCCAAAGAAGTTGGACCCAAGAAGGAACATGCCAAGGCACATCATCATTACATTAGCCAAGATTAAAATGAAGGAGAGAATCCTAGAAGCAGCAAGAGATAAGGGGACAGTCACCTACAAAGGAGTTCCCATCAGATTGTCAGATGATTTCTCAAAAGAGACCTTACAGGCAAGAAGGGGCTGGAAAGAAGTATTCCAAGTCATAAAATCCAAAGACCTACATCCAAGATAGATCTATGCAGCAAAGCTTTCATTTAGAATGGAAGGTCAGATAAAGTACTTCTCAGATAAGATCAAATTCAAGGAGTTCATCATCACCAAGCCCTTATTATATGAAATGTTAAAGGGACTTATCTAAGAAAAAGAAGATTAAAAAAGATGAACAATGAAAGGACAGCAAACTCACAGTTATTAAGAATCACAACTAAAACAAAAGCAAACTAAGAGGACAGCTAGATCAGGAGCAGAACTATAGAAATGAAGATAACATGGAGGGTTAGCAACAGGAGAGTGGGAGGAGGAGAAGGGGGGAGAAGGTACAGAAAATAAGTAGCATAGATGGTAGGTAGAAAATAGATGGGGGGAGGGCAAGAATAGTATGGGAAATATAGAATCTAAAGAACTTGAGGCATGTGGTCATAAACTAAAGGGGGTAATAGTGGGGGAGGGGCTGTGCAGGGTGGAGGGGAATGAAGGGGGGAATAGAACTGTAATGGCATAATTAATAAAATATATTAAAAAATAAAAAATTAAGTCATGAATAGTGAGGTCCTAATTCTTACAGGAGGAAGGGCGAGAGCTCTCTTCACCAGCCCTGTGCAGACGAGAAGGAGGCCTTCTGCGAGAGAGGAAGGGGGTTCTCGCTGCTGACTGCATAGGCTGGGACCTTGGTCTTGGACTTCCCAGCCTCTAAAACTGTAAGAAAAAAATTCTGCGCTTTAAGCTACGCTGCATATGGTGGTGTTATCTTATAGAAACCACAGAAGGCAGAAACAAGTATGTTCCATGCACTACCTGGCTTCTAAGCTCCTAAAACGCTTTAACTTCACACACCTGGGGAGACAACGCCGCCTCACCTACTGTGAATCCAAAGCCACAGTATGCAGAGCCGCAATACTGCCACAGCTGGGTGCATGGCCCAGCCCCGACAACCCTGCTCTGTCCACCGCCAGCCCCATCCATCCTCAGAGCTCTCACACTGTGTAGGAAAAACCCGCTACTTTTCACGGCACGTCCTCCAACAATGTGGTCAGTTCCACTCATCCAAATCTTCTCGACTTGGATCTCACTCCACCTTGATTTTCCACCTTGAAGGGTAGACACTAGGGAAGAGCCATTAACAGTGTGAGCTCTGGGGTCACACTGCCAAATTTGGGATTCCAGCTGTATTTGTGCCTCAGTTAACACCCCTAACCCTCAGTCTCCTCATGTGTAAAAGAGAGGTCAAAGCGCATACTCACAAGGTTGCAGATACCACTAAACAAGATATTTTATGAAAAGCGCTTACCTCACTTGGATTACTGAACCCCCTGGTGCGCGTTAGCTACTGGGACTCTTAAGCACTGCTCCAGTTCAACTGCAGCTCCCACTCTCAACGCACCTCCCATTCCCCTTCGCATTGGTTTACCGCCTGTCCATCACACCTCAGCCCCGCCCCTAAACATCCGGAAAATTTTTCCCGCTCTGGACTGCCCTCCCCGCCCCCCAATCCCGCTTAGCAGGCCTCCGGTTTAGGCTCACCCCGGAGTTTGCCCTTTTCTCACTTCGTTTCTCCTCGTCCTAAGCTTTGTTACCACACCGCACCCTGCTCACCTTGTTTTCCGGAAGAACGGGTTTACTGAGAGAAGACTGGTGAGGCAGCAGAGCGAACGAAGCTGAATTCAAAATCGCGACTCCCACAGCCCACACCAACCCCAATAGAATCACGCATAGCCGCCACGCCCCCGCGCCACGCGCGTGCTCACACCGGCCTCTGGCGCGTTTTCTCTCTTTGCCTCACTGCGTTTGCGCGGCGGGTTCCGAGCTGGGGTGGGTTTTTTCGGGCGGTGGGATTGCTGGACGCTGAGCGTAACGGACTCTCAGAACCTCTCTTCAGAGCGCAGCCTTTGCTCTGGATGGTGGACCTCCGCTGCGCTCCTGCTCGATGCAGAATGTTTGATCTTCCGCTAATTAGCGCTAGAGGTACCAAGCCCTCTGCAGTTCCTGGACGTGGGCAAAGTGTCGGGTAGTCACTAAACGCCGCAGGGCCTGAGTGCTGTATCCGAAAACTGAGAATCCTGTGTACCGGTCCCCGCCATAGTCGGGCCTTAATATGTACAAACCTGTTATTTTACCTCGCGATTGACGGTACGCACCTCCACTGGGTTGTGCATGGGTTGTACAGGAACTAGGACGTCTTTTTTTTTTTTTTCCAATTACAGTTGACATAAAACATTAGTTTGAGGAGTACGACATACTGATTAGATGTTCATATAACTTTTGAAGTAAGTGATCACCCTGAAAAGTCTGTTACCCACCTGATACCACATGAAGTTATTAAAATACTACTCGCTTTTTTTTATACTATTTTTACCCCCTACCCACGTTGTAATTATAACTGGCAATTTCTACTTCTGAGTCTCTACAACCTTTTCACCCATCGCCCAGATCCTCTCCCATCCAGCAACCCTGGCAACCATTAAATTGTTCTCTGCATCTGAGTTTCTCTTTTGTTTGTTTTATTTTGTTTTGTAGATCCCACAGAAGTGAATTCATGGAGTATTTGTCTTTGTCTCATTTCACTGAGAATAATACCCGCTAGGTCCCTCTATATTGTCTCAAGTGGCAAGATTTCATTCCTTTTTGTGGCTGAGTAATATCCCATTATACATGTACCACACCTCTCCTGTGTCCATTCGTCTATGGATGGACACTTAGGTTGCTTCCATTTCATGGCTACATGAATAATGATGCAATGGGCTGCATATTATCTTTTCAAATTAGTGTGTTGGAAACCTTTGGATAAATACCCAGAAGTAGAATTGCTGGGTTGTAAGGTAGTTCTATTTAAAAATTTTTGAGGAACCTCCATACCATTTTCCACAGTGGCTGCACCAATTTACAATCCCACCAATAGTGCACGAGGATTCTCTTTTCTCCACATCCTCACCAACAATTGTGCATTAACTGATGATGGCCATTCTACAGGTATGAAGTGATAACTCATTATGGTTAATTTGCATTTCTCTGATGATTAGTAATGTTGAGCATCTTCTCATGTGTCTACTAGCCATCTGTATGTCTATGGAGAAATGTATATTCAGGTTCTTTGCCCATTTTTTAATTGTATATTTTTGGCGTTGACTTGTATGGCTTCTTTATAAATTTTGGATATTAACTACTTCTCAGATGTATCATTGGTGAATATGCTCTCTCATTCAGTGGGTTTCTTTTCATTTTGTTGATGGTTTCCTTTGCTGTGAAAACACTTTTTTTCCTAACAACGTTTATTTCTTTAAGTATATATTTTTTAACATACATTTTAGGGTGGGAAGTCTTTCATTTTTAGATTTAATTTATTCACTTATTTTTACAGAGAAGGAAAGGGAGGGAGAAATAGAAAGAGAGAAACATCAATGTGTGGTTGCCTCTCACACACCTCGCACTGGGGACCTGGCCTCAGGAAGGTGCCCTGAGTGGGAATGAAAATTGTGCCCCTGGCACTCAATACACTGAACCACACCGGCCAGGGCTTAAATTATATTTTCTTGATCATGTTACAACAGTTGCTCATTTTTTTTCTCCCTTGTATCCCCCTATGCCCAGTATATACATTCCCTCCAGCATTCTACTCCCCCACGTTAGTCATATCCATGGGTCATACATATAAGCACTATGGCTCTTCCACTTCCTATACTATTCTTATACTTCCCCTATTTTGTACCTACCAATTATGCTTCTATTCCCTGTACCTTTCCCCCATTCTCCACGTTCCCAATCTGCCGATAACCCTCCATATGATCTCTATTTCTGTGAACCTGTTCCTGTTCTAGTTTACTTAGTTCATTTTTTTTAGGTTCAGTTGTTGATAGCTGTGAGTTTGTTGTCATTTTACTGTTAATAGTTTTTGATCTTCTTTTTCTTAGATAAGTCCCTTTAACATTTCATATGGTAATGGCTTGGTGATGATGAACTCCTTGACATTGACCTTACCTGAGAAGTGCTTTATCTTCCCTTCCATTCTAAATGAACGCTTTGCTAGATAGAGTAATCTTGGATGTAGGTCCTTGCCTTTCATAACTTTGAATACTTCTTTCTAGCCCCTTCTTGCTTGTAAGGTCTCTTTTGAGAAATCAGCTGACAGTCTGATGGGAACTCCTTTGTAGGTGACTGTCTCCTTTTCTCTTGCTGCTTTTAAGATTCTGTCTTTATCTTTAACCTTTGGCATTGTAAATATGATGAGTCTTGGTGTGAACTTCTTTGGGTCCATGTTGTTTGGAACTTTCAGAGCTTCCTAGACTTGTATGTCTATTTCCTTTACTGGATTGTGGAATTTTTCTTTTAGTATTTTTTCCAGTAAATTTTCAATTTCTCTCTCTTTCTCTTCTCCTCCTGGCACTCCTATGATTTGGATGTTGACACATTTAAAATTGTCTCAGAGGTTCCTAAGTTTCTCCTCATTTTTTTGAATTCTTCTTTCTTCATTTTATTCTGGTTGAATCTATTTCTTCCTTCTGTTCCAAGTCATTGATTTCAGTTTTGGCCTCCCTCCCTTCACTGTTGGTTCCCTGTATATTTTTCTTTATTTCACTCTGTATACCCTTCACTTCTTCTTTTATTTTGCAGCAGTACTCCATCATCTCTGAGCATTTTCATTACCAGTGTTTCAAAGTGGACTGATGCTGCAGGCCGAAGGAAGGTGGCAGCTGCCCACAGTGCTCCCACTCTGTGGCCCCACAATGGATGCAGCTGCAAGCTGTGTCCCTGGAAGGAAAAGCATGTAGGTGAGTGAAGCACAGGGTCCACAAAGCATGGCCTCCTGTGGTGCCACCTATTCCCTTGGGGAAGGTCAGAGATGGTACAGGGAGGTCTGTGTAGCATAAAAATGAAGGATTGATTTGAGGGAAAATTTGAGGGCAGCATAGCAGGGTTGCATGGTATTGGGGTGCCCATGTGATACCACTGGGATTAGAGACTCAATGGATAAGGCTTGGGTCCAGGCCTGCACCTTGGCCCAGAAGGGAGGGAAGGCCAAGGCCCTCTGGTTCATACAGACCCACTGCCCTCCTGGGCCTTGGCCTGCAGATGTTCATAATGTCTGGGAGTAACTCTCTGCCACTGGACTACTGGCCAGAGAGGTGTAAACCAGGGTTTCCGAGGGTGAGATCCTTTTAGTTAGGTTGCCTGCTCCCGAACCATGTAGCTGTGAAGGACTGACCTGCTCACTTGCCCACTGCCAGTATCCACAGTCCTTTGCTGTTTGCCCCAGTCTGCTCAGAGACTCTAATCTCAACAGCCTCTGGGCTTCCTGCCCTTTCTCCTGTTTCTAGAGTTGCCTCCAGCCTCAGCTAACTGAACCACCAGCCCTGCCCTCACTGTCTAGCTCCCTATCCTGACCACCATATACCCCATCACTGGCCTCACTGCCTGGGAAAACGTTGCCCACTGTGCTGGTTAAATGGCCATCCTGGTTTGACCTCCACAGGCCGCCCTGACACCGGCTTGCACAGGCCCTCTGAGGGGGTTCTGGGAGCCAAGGCCCGAAGCTGGGGCCTTGGCTGGCCCTCTTTACTGCAAGCAGTATCAATCTGTCTTCTCTTGGAAGCCGAATACCAAGCTTCTGTTGGAAAGGGCAGGCTGCCCCTGGCACCCTGGGTGAATGCCAGGATGTCCTTTGGGTCAATTCAACCTTTGATGATGGCTGTGAGGGGAATAGTTGGGCAGCGATTACTAGCAGAAAACATTCCTTTTCTCTTCCCTCTTCTCTACTATGTTACATAACTAGCAGGGCCCCTGCTCACCTCTTTTTCCAGCGTGGTGTGGATATGCTGCTTTTGAAATAAATATTCAACTTCCTTGACCAACTTCTTTGGTAGGGAAAAACAGCTTCATATGTCTTTGCATGAACTAACCATGTAAATCCTTCCTGGAAAATGTCAAGTGAAATCCTCGGTCGGGGGGCATGTTCCTGCTAATGAACCATGAAGGTTTGGGCTTTCCCTTCCTTTCCCAGCAGAAACTGTTGACCCAGTCAAACACACTGGGAAGCCCTTGTGAGCCAGTGACAGAGACAGTGTAAGACAGAGAGGGTCTCCAAGGGGAGGAGTGGCCGGAGCATTTCACGTTGTATCAGGAGAAGTGAGCAAAGTCTTATTTTTGTTTCCCAAATAGGTTCTTGTATCAGTATACCTAAATTAAGAACCAGCCTTTTAAATATAGCGATAATTTGATGTTATCAGAGCTGTTATTTCTTCATTTTAAAACATCTGAATTTTATTGAGGGCATTACATTTATTTCACTGGTGTGCACAGCTAGTATATTTTTCATTTTTTCTACACCCTTTCATATCTTCTCCAAGTGCACCCTGCTGTGTCACAACTGTGTGTCTTTGCTTCTGCTGCTCCCACCACCTGGAACACCGCCTTCTCCTCCAGTGTCCCGCCCACTCTCAGTGGCCAAATTCCTACTCATTCCTTGAAACTTAATTTAGACCTCCCTTCCTCCAGGGAGCTCTGCCGGTCTGGACATCCCTAACCGAAGGTTCATCCCCACTGATCTCACACACCCCGTCCTTATTTCTCTTCTTCCTACCTATATTTCAACTAAAATTTCAGTTACTGTGTCTCTCTTCCCTTCTAGACAGTAAGCTGGGTGGGAATAGTGACTGCATGTTAGTCATGGTGGCATTCCTAACAGTGATCAGAAAAACCCTGACACAGAAAATGCTTGT